TTTTTTTTCAACATTTTTACTGCTTTTTTATCAACATTCTGTTCAAATCCCACTTATACGTCCTCTTAAATTACCTCAGTTGATAAAAAACTTAAGCAAAGGGTTTACACCTACCAAATGCACATCAAGCAGTTAGATTTTACTGTTTAATCAAACAATTTTTGAGCTGAAACTGTTCAAAAACGTTTCTTAAGCAGTACCTGTCAGTTAGTATTCAGCGACGAAAACACAGATCGAGATGACACTTCATGATCGCATCTGTTGAGATCACGGTGTTTGTTTTAACCGTGCGCTAACAATTTAAACATTCAAAATCTTTTTATTTGAATACTTTAAAGTTTGGATGTTTATCTAAAGGTCTATTTGACTGATTTTGCAATTAGTCATTTTGATGTTGGTAGTGGTGACCATTGCTAAACCTGGTTCAAACACTCCTTAACCGATAAATGAAGCGTTAAGACTGATATATGGATTTACTTTGGATTAACACCGATAGTGTAATGGTCCCTGACCGCTGTTCTGTTTAGGTATTAAGAGAATTGGCTGGCGAAGAAGTAGACGATTATATGGATGGGACAAAAAGAATTCGAATAAGTGAAAGAGAAGTTAGGCATCCACATTCTGAAGCCGCTTATAAGATGCTAGAGCCATACGCACTGAAGAAATGCCCGACGGTAAGGATGTCACAGAATTTGAACTTCAATTCCTATTTTTTAATTTTATTCACTTTTCGCATATTGCTTGATTGTTCTAACTAGAATTCTGATGAATTACTGCATGGTCCAATACTTGAGAAAGTTGGCTCGTTAGGTGAACATTATTGGACTTGGATTCATCAGCCATTCGATGATGTTCTACGACTGTTTAAGTCGGACTTCTTGGAGAGTTTGACACGTACCAAATGGTGGGTAATTCCATTGGTATGGATGCCTATTGTACTCTTTTATACTTATGAAGCATTTGGCCTAGTCTTTGCCCAATATGGTTCGTTTTTTCATTCAAATCCTTTACTTTTTTAATT